AAATATCTAGCTGAACAACGATGAAAAAACTAAAAAATAATTCAGCTTTACATTTCTCTAACCTACTGATTAAGCATAAAAAAGAACTCTAGCTATCGGTGACTAAAGAGAATATTCCTAAGGAACTCAACTACTGAACGATGCATTAACTACCGAATAGAACGTAATAAATGTCAAACCCAGACCCAGACACTTCGATCAATTTGATAATAAATAGGAAAAGTCAAACAAATTTTGGCCATTGAGCTTATGAAAAATAAACGAGATGCAAATGCCAAAAACTGAAGACTGAGAGGAAAAGAACAGTACAGCAAATAGAAACTTAAGTACTTCACCCTACTATTCTGAATGATACTGTAAAAATTTATTTAGACGGTACCTCGTATCGATTTCATGTGGCTCACAGCCATCCTCAAAATAGTGAGTTTGTCAGGCTTCCTTGCGAGCGAACTGCAAGTTGGTACCATTTCACATAATTCGTTTATATAGGCAGTCATTTTGTTACGTCTTCGTCTCTCTATTTCACAATGACTTTCCCTAGGAAATTCGAATGATATAAAGTATTGACTTACCTCGCATACCTCTCCTTGTCTTGCTGATGATCGCCACCATCGTGTTTACAGGCAGACAGTCTAGTACTCGTCACTTCAAACATGCTAAAAAAGAATTCACTACAAATTTGTAAGACATACTCTCTTTCGCTCCCACCATCACTATCTCGAGAGAAGTCTGTGAGGTTCTCCACCCTTAATAAGAAAATATGTTGTCACAAAAGCAAAAACAAAAACACCATCCTAACGGACTAATGACCACTTACATATCCATTTTACAAATGACAGCCCCAAGACATCGTAATTCCAGATGAAACAACCAACGAGTAGCGCAGCCAATATTCGCGGGTCCCGCCTAATATGTATATATCCCTTAAAACCAAATCTCACAAGATCGATTGAGAAGTAAAAGAAATCAGTTCCTAGTGGGTTTCTAGGTCCAAGTAAAACAAGTCACTAGTGCTAACAGCTACGGATAAAAGAAAAAAATAGAAGTTTTGAATCTGAGGCAGTCTATAACAAGAAAGCGAAGGTGATGTACAGGAAAAACGATATAAAGTTAGGTTTTCGCGACAAGAACTCAAAGTGCCAAAGAAATTTTAATCATAAGATTAAGTCATTCTTGCATTATGGAAAACACCCACTTCCAATTCAGAGTGATATAATGTATGCCATATTGATTTGCTCCTCCTTTGTGTGTGTTCTATCCAGTCAGGATAAAATAGCGTTCATTTGTTGTGACTGATTTGATTGATTGAACAATTATTGGTTGAACGGCCGTGTTCATGTCTGTTTAGAGCCGCTATTTACTCAATTACTTGTTTTGATTTTGACGGACAAGGGCGCGTGTCTAACGTACCTGGACGGCTATTCATCTGTCCAAACCGAAGTTTAGACTCTTCACATAGCGCATAGCAAAGTTGAGTCCAAGCATTTTATCTTCATTAAGGCAGTTCTGTTTCTAGTTTGTCCGATACCAGTCTTACAATGAGGAAACCAAAATGAACGCATACATGAGTAAAAAGAATACAACTAAACACGACTTGCAGTTTGCAACTACAAACTTCAATATCTCCGGACATACAGATCGACTTAATAGCCTCCAACCGTCCAATAGCTTAGCTTTTAGTTCCTCATGACAGGCTTTACTGCCTTCAACATACTTTATTGGGTTGTGGTGTTCAGTCCTCACATCGATTACGCTACTTTTTCTAAGACCACTCAAACGTATTATTCAGTAAATCACTGCTAACATTTATATCATTGTCCCATCGACAGTTGGAATAAAGGAAATTCACTACTCACATTACTCTCTCGAAAGTTGTACAAACTCATACCAACCGTTAGCAGACTAACAAATGCAGATGTAATAAGCACTTTATTACCAAAAGGCTGTAGTGACCTACTTTTATCAAGAGAACTCGACTGGTTCAATGGAAACAATTATTATTATAACCACTTGTACCAGTGACTGTTTTACTGTACTTGTTTGTTTGGCTGTGCTACAGACATTCCTCCTTCGTTAGATTGTGACTTTACACGCGCTTACATTTCCTGAGTTATTCCGCTTGTACTCTTTTGGCACGATCCCAGTATTTTTTCGATACCACGAGATCGCCATCAAATATATCTCGCTGCAACCTCCAATCGCTTTCTGATATCTGGTACGAAAGCTTCTTGTAGTGGTGATAACAGACAACCGCGAATCGACGCCACGCTACAAGGTTAAGCGATGATAAGAATTAACTTTATGAAGGAAGCTATTCTATCAGCACAAATTAGTGATAAGACTAACTACTGTTATATATTGAGCGAATTCATATTGTATGACGTCTCTTGGTGATCGATGCCAAGAAAACGTAGAAGCGCGATCAGTTTAAAGCAAAAACCGTATACGCATGGTGCGAATGATGGAAACAGAACAGTCTGGCACATTCACAACTGAACTTTATATGAAACAACAAATACTCCGAATCAAGTCATCGTGCCTGTGTATCACCTTAAGACTAGTATCGTTACAGTCACAATCCTTGAAAAGTTTGAATTTCGGAATAATTTGAGCTAAAGATATGACCACCTGCTTCAGAAAACATCACAGAATATAATATATAGTCTCCAGAAGGTCATGAAAATTGCCTTATTGCCGAACACTGTGAACCAGTAGAACCACTTGTATCGGCTTCATAACATTCATCAGCATACGGATGTCATCCTTCATTAGAGGTGATCACTAATTTGCATAAATTATACCTCCGACCACCAAAAACACGATAGTCACTTTTATCACTTTTTAAATTTTTATCAAGAAAAATCAACCGACGTTTTCCATCTAGTCACAACGAATAATGGACTAAATTGTTCAGACTAGCCAACCACGAGACAGTGTTTTAATCAAGCACAATTTCAATATCCAAGTGACTTGAAACACCGCAAGTTTCGTCTTCTTATAGATTTCACAATGTTTTGCTAAGAAAATGTGACACTTTCTATACCGTTGATCCCATCTTTTCAGTGAGATTCTATCGCAACCTGACAGAAATTATATTTGGCAATAGTTTTATGACTGTATATTCAGATTGTATTACCAACAATATATATATATATATATTAAATATTGATAATATAATAATATGACGAAGTTATATAAATATATTATAGCGAACAATGCATAGTATGAGGCATTAGTATCTATACAGCCAGACTAGAAGTCACTAGAAAGAGACAAGTATTCAATCTGTAATGTTTGAATTGTGATCCATCAGCTTAGAAGTGTGTTGTGGTATTGTTATGAAATGGTACATGTCAAAAACCATTCATTTTTTACGATCAGTGCAGTACTTGTTCATAGAACTTTCTCATAATGATGATTTATTTCACGGGCTTTTTTGGTTAAAAAAGATTTCGTTAGTACATGCAAATTCTGAAAGAGATAGTTGATCACTAAAGCGAACGCTGTTCATGGTTATGTTTGGACAGTTTTATCTATATTGAACATTCGGAAATTTTATTTAAGAACTTTTCAAACGCTATTTACTGGCTTTGTTAACTGTATTCACATAGCCAAATTTTAGGAAGCCTAGGTGGGATATTGCTTCCGCTGGCTATTTTATTTGTACAAATGTTATGCATATTTACCACGTTTTTAATTCATTTTTGCCCAACCTTTGTAGCCTTTTAGGATTTTTTTCATATACGTTAAGTGAAGTTTGGAATGTCACGGTAATTACAATTGTTGATAATTATTAGATCCCTCAATACATACATAAGCTTCCATAAAACATGTAACATATTCGAGGTACTTCTTTTTAAAATACGCTAGAAGCTCGAAAAACCTTTCATTTACGTAATACATTGAAGTCAAGAGATATATTTAACTGACCAAAGTTTTGATCATTGTATTATCCCCTGAATTATATTATTTGTTTATGAATGTTAACTGTTTGTTTGTTTCTCACTATGTTAATTTAAACCCAATGTTTAACTTTGGTAGTGCTATCAGAAAGATACAGGGATATTAGTCATTAAACTTCACAACATATCCATAAGTTGTTAATACCATCTCTTTTTCACTATGACCATATTTCACTGTTGAATTAAGTTGTGTTTTGAAAGTTTACCTAAACACTATGTTTCTGTGGGAATTTTTTATAGGTGACCTTCTTTGTTTACACACGGGCAGAATATTTCGAATAATATTAGGTGTTTATATTAGCTTTATCCAAACATCGGTAACTTCTAATTGTCTCAATACCTGTTACTTTTATCAATTTCATCTCAAAATTCAGAAGAGATAAGCTGTTTCTGCATCCGCTTTAATTTTACTGCACATAAGTTTTGTAGTGTTTCAAACCAACCATTGAGAATAAAGATTAAAGATGAACAGTCACTGTTATTCCCAAGCTTTGACTTGATACTTTAGAAGAAACCGAGCATTCGTTAAATCATTAATAACAAAGTACTGATATATTTGTGATATCCCAATGAGTATAATGTAAAACTTCTGAAGTTTCGCGGCTGAGTTCACATAGTTTCTCCACACGGTAAACACATTGTCAAACAAAACAACACAAGATTAAATGGTACAGTTATGCAAGGAAGAATGTTTGTTTCACTGTAAACATAAACGTATTCCACTCCTTGTACAGTTCTATCTATTTTTATTCTGTTATGCAGAGTAAATAAATTGTGTGGCTTGTCTGAATTAATGGTGAAGATTAGTTATAAACACTGGTACAGATGATCTTCATGAAGTGTGTTTCATAATTATTATCTCTGCGCTCAATATCACCTTATAATCGTGTAATACCAAGTAAATCATAGTAAGCCTTAAAAGGTGATAGGGCAACAAACACCAGTTTATTACAGCTCGTTTAATATAACTTAAAGTATGCTAGACTGTACTATTAAATGTGAGGCTTCAGAAATTCAACTACTATTTACTGCATTAACTTTCCACATTTGTTTAATAGCATGAATTGTCGTGGTATTACTAAGGCACTTCCTTATTGCTAAGGCTTGCACTGTTCAAGTCCGCATGTTTGCATAAGCGTTGTATATTTCACTAACAATAATTAAAGGTTACACGCGATATTTTAGCGTATCTATGGATACTATTTTTCATACTTTCAAAACTGGTAACTAATTTAAAAAGCTTGAGAGCAATGAGAAAACGAACAAAACAATGTTTTTCCTCTTCAAGGCTTTCGTATGGGTGTTCATTTGCCTCCTATTATTTGTGGCCTTAAATAATATGTTGAATGATTTGTGTCGCACAGCCCCTCTTGAAAATGTATATTTTGTTGCGGTAAGACTTAAGTATGAATAGAATATATAGGGATTAACCCATGTTAGATTCAAATGCATAATGAAATGTGCAATATGATGAGGCTTAAACTGTCATCTAATTCGTATAAATTTGTTTAACTTGCACCGTCAATCTTCTCTTAGAAGAAGACTAGAACGTCTCAATATATGACTCATAATTACTTATATTCTAGTTCACTTTTGCTTCTTATCGTCCTTGTCTCCCTAAAAAGTTGTCTAAAAATCATGATGGGAGGAATAATTTTACATGAAGTTATTAGTTAAGAAATCATATGATCTATATTTTTTTATCCGTTTTTTTATTTTATTTGTTTACGATCTAAGTATTACCGGCAAAAGATTGGCTCTGATGATTTTTAGATAGCTTTGAGTGAAAATTACCATGTATAACAGACGAAGCTAAGGAAGGCTCTTTAAACTCGTGTATAACTTAGCTATTAACTATATATATTCATATACAGGTGTATGTAAGACTTTTAATGTGTAAAACAATTGAAATCTACGCAAACTCTTCATTATGTAATTCTGAATAACCTTGTCGTACGTTTTGCAGTGGACGAGAACTCAGGTGGGACAAACCAATTTATTGTTCAATGCAAATTTATACAGTGCTGTCGTATAATATGAAAGTTAAACATTATTTTTACATCTTCTATCAATTGTCCTTTACACAATTAATGATTCTTTCAAGTCTGCTTTTATTCCAGTTGCTCTTTGCTTTCTTTCATGTCCTCTTTAATTCAATCTTATGATGGTAAACATTCCGCTTCCGATTGCTGCTACATACTTTATGTTTTGACTAAAGACTGTCTTAAGAATCACTAGAACAAATTACTGTCCTCCAGAAACTCATGTTTCTGATCATTTTTAAACATCAGCCCACTTTGGACCATTTATAAAATTAACAAGTAATGTTGAGTAAAGAACACATTCAATACTCTATGCATCTTTCTATGGCATACTTGCCAAATCAACGCCTATCTACAGATATTCTGACTAGGTTTTAGTACTGAATGACATCTAAATAAGTGCCTTATTAAACTTTCGCTTATTTCAGATACTCAAAGCTTAATTACACCGACAAATATATCTGACATATTCAAAGAAAAATGGATTGTGATCCAAACAATGACTACAGTAAGCTAATCACATAATAATTTTCCAATATATAGATCGAACAGCTTTATTTTCTCCGCGTGATCTACCGCGTAGTGAGGTAGGTTTAAAATCGTTTTCTAAATAAAACTATCTGGTGAATTACGTTGAAATAAGACTGAAAGTAAACTACAAATCATTTAGATTGAAGAACGTCTACGATTCTATCAAATGGAGGTAGATAAAAAGGATGAGTTGATAAGACAAGTGACAAAGTGAGCATTTTGATGTCCTATTCTTACAGTTTAAAAAATTAACTTTCTTCGTAGAATAACTGCAAACACACCAGTTATCCAGAATTTTCGTACACCCGATACACAAATTTGTTCACATGAGAAACTCGAAGAAATTCGAATAAAAGTTGAAAAACTTCAACACACAGTAAGAAAACCTTTTTCAAATTTTTTTTAAACCAAATAAAAAAACATTTAGATTGCAGAAAATAAAGACATAATACATGAAAAGAATATAACAATCAGCGAATTAAAAACAGAATATGATGCAATACGATTAGAGAATGTAGATCATTTAAAAAGAATTGAAGAATTAGAAAATTTATTGGTAGAAAAGTCACATAAACTACATACTTGTGAACAATCTGAAAGTCAACGTGATTTAGTAGTTCAGTCACTACAAGAAGATTTAAAAATAAAAACAACTAAACTTCTAGATCTCCGTTACCAGTATAAGTAAGTAACTGCGTTAGGTTGTCGATGCTACCTTCTTTTTTCTAGTTGAAATAAATTTACTGCAGGAAACCATTTATAAATCAAAATCTGAATTGGGCCAAATTTTACTGATTTATTAGTCCTTGTTTATTGAAAAGAATATAATGTTAGTCACAAAATGAGTATTTATCATCACTGGTCATTTGTTATACCATGAGTTAACTTTTAATGTTTGAGGGAAAACATACCAGACACGTGAATAAAGTTTGGATGTTTCGAGGGCCGGTAGCACAATATTTCATAATGAAGAATAGATCGGTTACAGACCTTCCGATTAACGCGTTAATCAAGAGAAGAGCATATCATGATAAAATGTCTAGCGGATAACGTCGTTACGACCTAGAACTGACCAATATGAAAGCAATACTCAGTAAGGATGAGCAAAACTGATACTCTATGCTTGGTGGTTGGTCAAAAATTAACTAGTCCCGAAAGAAGAGGAAAAAGACGAAACTAATGAATATTTATTCAAGATCGTTATTGCATTCCAGACACTCGTTTATATACATGCACGACCGGTGCGTGCAGCAGACTAATCGAGTAACAATATTAATGAGGATTAACGACACTGATGGGAAAAACGGAGTACAAGGCGCGCGAATAATCGGTTCTAGATTATGAGTGGAAAACCATATAGCAACAGTTTGCAGTTCAAATAAAAGCCTGGAACTATGGTAGTATAAAAATAATAAAATCAAAATACTTTATATATATATAATCGTAGTAAAATAAGTTTGCATGTTTTTACTTCATAGCTAAATTATTTCCTGCAACAAACCCAAGTAAAAGTATTCATAGTTCAGGCCGAAAAAATGTTAATGCTCGATAAGTGATATGATTGTAGCTGATTATTTACTTTTTACTTTCTTTAGGATGTTAGAGGAGAAATATGAAAGCAAAATCCAAGCTGAAAAGACATCTCAAGAAGAATTAGGAAAATACTTCACGGATTTAGCAAATTTGCTAGAATGTGAGGCAAAACCGCAATCCTGTATTCTTAAAGTAATGAATAATATTTCTTACATTTTCATCTGTGTTTCACTTTTTTTAGTAAACTATGTTTGGTAAAAAAATTATTTTTCAAGACATCACACCAGTAATATAATGACAAAATATTATTTTCTGTATGGGGGTTGTGAAGGTTATAGAAGTTCACTGAAATCATGAAATGGTTGAAGTTAGACAGCAGTTGGGAACCTGGAATTACTGGACGGTAGTATGGGACTCCACAACAGTTCCTATCTACGACGGCTCTAATTGTGACTATTCATCGACTTTGTTTTTTATATTGTTTTATAGTTTGCCGTAACAATTTCAAGCCCTATATAACTCTGCTTAGTAATAATATCACAATCACTTAAGACTCAAGTTATTTTACAACAACATTTGTATAACTTGTATAAACTTTTAAACACTAAACACAACCTCATATAGAATAGATATAATGTGGCTAACATTGAAACTCAGGATATGCGTTTTCTTCTGTCTGGGACTCGTCAGATAAATGTACTTTCTGCTCTTAGTCAGATTCCGTCTGTTCTGTATTAACTAATGTCAGGTAATCCACAGAGGATACGCATATACCAACCAAGATTTATCGAATTTCAATCAGAATATCAACAATGAGATCATTCAAACTATTACAAATGAAACTAAGGTCAATTGTTAAAACAACTTATCCAGTAAATAGGATTCTATATAATTTTTAGTAAAAAAAATAAATGTCCTTCTTTCACTTAAATATAACTCTAAAGCAGATGCTGACAAAAACAACAACCGATAATGTTACTATGGCAACCTTGACCTAAGAATCAAACACATGTAACTTGTTTTATTCTTGACCTAGTTCAACCTGTTATTTCGCAAAAATTATTAGGTATACTATAAACAAGTTTGAACATTTACACAAAAAAGATTTAAGTCAGTTTCGTAATGTTATCTTGTTTGTATGCTCTTTAATAAATAATTATATATTTTTTTCTCATACGAAGTTAGCTAGAAGAGCGACCTAAGAGTTAGGGCTCTCAATCCCGTTATTAAGTAGTAGGTTTGAAACTTCCCCCACATAATGTGATTTAGATAGAAGGAAATTATTACTGGCCTTTAAGACAAGATAATAATGAACCAACTTCTGTCTTATTTTGAAAATTTCAACCAATCCTCAGCCATAATAACTAACTTGGAAATATATGTTGTGACAAATGTGATATATCTAAACCTCTGAGTCAGAATCCAGTTGCCCACATTTTCACTAATTTGCTAGTATTGTGGGAAATTTGTTGAATATAATTTAAATACAGACCAAAACTGTAACATGAACTATCAGTAAAGGTTTGTTATTCTCCTTTGTCGATAGTCATGGTTGTAAATGATAACCTTTGTTGCCATGTACTCATTCTTAGGACATCATCAAGCTAAAGCCTTTGGTCAAATATACCTACCATATATGATACATGGTCAACTGCAGAATCTAGAATGAGCGTTTCCTTCTATTTGAGATTGATCAGCTTGATATACCTAGATTCTAGTATTGATATTCACACTGAAATTTCAACACAGTATATTTCACTTTAAACGCCTAACTCGTTATTCACTGAGCTACTGAGTTAAAATGTTTAGTAACGTATTCTAAAGGTAGAAAGGTATTAAAAATGGTTTGAAATTTCCCATTTCTGTTGTTCGAAACTTAATTTCCTTGAGAACATCAACACTGGATCATTTGTACATTTTCCATCAATTGTAATTTACTTACCCTATTACTCTTCTTATCGTTGTTATTTTGATTGTTCCCTATTTTCCTTCCCGTTCTCTTCATTTGAATCTTCTGCTGGTAAGCATTCCACTTTCTGTACCTGCTACATACCACTTATATTTGTCTATATAAATAGTGCACACCACATATAAACATTTAGCTGACGGATCCTCAAGACTGATGCATCCTCAATTCTACTGCTCACAATGTATTAAACCACAAACTATCTGAGTTTTAACCAACTAAATCAACTGTGACATGTTTATTCTATTAAGGAATTGAAAATCAAATCAAATCGTACACGCACTATTGATAAGTCTTAGTGTTTACGACTGATGACAGGCAGTTTTATTCAAAAGGGATAAATGAGTTATGAAATTTCGGTTTTATTTATTATTCTATAGAAGTGTGGATAAATTATTTAGTACGTTCATTATTTTACCTAAAACATGACCATTTTTTAATTCGTGTTTGAATGTACCATATGCTTCATCAAAATTCATTCATTTTTATCACATACGTTTCCTTCATACATTTATACTCATTAAAATTCTAGTTAACTGACATACTAAGATCATTATCTGACTCTAAAGAACAAGTTAAACGACAAGGTGATTCAATTGAAGCATATGAATTTGAACAAAGAGCATCTAGAGAGACTATATCACGTCTATCTGGTGAAATTAACAAAGAACAAGAATTAAGACAAGCAGCTGAAAATTCTGAAAGAGAAATTAAACAGGTACCATGTTTCTACTGATTCATTTAGTGATGATCAATATTAATCTACGTTTCTTTTCCTTCAAAAAAATACTATATCTATTTAACGGTTTTTCAGCAACATTCTTCCTATGTCGAAAGCTTAGACTATTTTTATTTGAAATGAATAGATTTTAATTGACAGGAGATGTAAAGCCCAAGCCAAGATTTAACATCAGTCCAATAAAAGGCGTTCTGTTGAACTGAACCGTTTAAATAGATATAAATTCCCTAGAAGGGTTCCATACGATCATCGTAAGCAGTGGTTAAAGATTATGGGTTACATGACTCGGAACCATTCACAACTTTTTTGAAACGTATTTTATGTCACATTGTAAGAGAGGTTTCTACAAGGTTGTCTGATCATGATTACAAAAACTTTTGCCTGAAACGCAGTCAATTATTCACATCAACAATCAACAGTCAACTCATATTTACCAAACATATTGTGGACATCTGAAAAACATTCCAAATCATTAACAAATATTCAACACGAAGTCTACCTCATTTTGTACAGGCAATTATTATCGCGAGTCTCCAATCTCATCTATGTGTATTGAAGGAAGTTCTGTGATGTTCCTTTGATCACCACAGTGATTGTGAACACAATCGGATAATTATCTACCCTTAAATAATTTTGATGATATCCACATATTGATTTGTATTCAGTTTTAATCATGTGAACCAGTGGTGTGATTTTTGACTGTGTCCACTACCATTATGTAATCCCTTCTTTCATCACAATCATTAGTGATCGTTGCCCAACCTCTAATAATCTGAATGACCATATTCTCAGTAGTTAAGCACATGGACGATCCTAATGGGGAGCAGACCAAATACCTTCGACCTCATGAACAAACGCTTAATCTGTAGACCACGAAACCGGAATCCATTGTTATATGTGTTTAACTGGAGTGATGGTCTAACTAAGGTGATTTAGTGATGTGTCAACTATGAAGATTTGGTAATCTCCACCAACTTCTTTACTAATGTGACCACATATCAATTAGAACTACATTTGATTACATATGGTGTACCGTATTCTACATATAATGGTTTTCGTCTATGTCTTGAACATCGATCTCAATTTGACTAGGCGAATCATTGTATTGCTTTGTTTTGAATAGTATTACTGTTTGCAATTTTAAGCTGTATATTGTAGCTGATGAGAAGCCTTGAAATACAAGAATTTTTTTTCATTCTGTAGATATGTTTTTAAAGTTTAGTTCGTGCTCATTAACTATTTTAAATTCCCTGAAATCATGAAACGATCCATGTTAGTAAACTTTTAAAAACCTGGAAGCACTGGACGACCGTTTCATATTATTGTAAGTATCCACCGCCTTGCACATCAGTATTGAACCCAGGAACTTCGGTTTCGCTTTTGAGCGCCTGTCGAGATCATCTGTATGAGGTTCCAAGCAGTTACCCATCAAAGACTAAGAATGATGTCCGAGCAATATCATGGACTGATTAAAACTCGACACCAAAACTTTCGGTTGCTGGTTCAATGTTCTTTTGACCAAGTGTCCGTGTGCAAGATCGAAGTTTCAAGCTCCGATCCCACGTTGCGCACTGTTGAAGAGTCCCGTACTAGGACGAAACACACGATTTTAATAAAACTTAACAGTCTCCACATATTTTGTATTCATTGTTTTTTTTTTCAGGAATTTGAAAAAATCAAAACAGCTTATCAAAGATCAGAAAGTTGTATTCATTTATTAGAAGAACGTGTAAACAGTTTAACACAATCACTTCAAGCTGCAAGAGATGATGCAATGGAACGTGGAAAACAATTAAATAAAATAAATGAAATTGAAGCAATGTTTCAAACTAAAATTAATAACCATAATGCATCAGAACAATCAACTATAATGGATTTAGAGAAATGTCGTTGGAATTCTGATGATTTAAAAGAAATTCAAAAATTTATGTAAGTATAATATTACATAGTCAGAATTAAGAGTCATAACTGAGAACAGTTACTGTCAATCACTACTTCAAACAGTCGCATTATAAAACTATGTATATTCTATCTTAATTATCCGTTTATATCGTTTGTTTTTAAAAGAATTACCAATAAGTATTGGAATTTCTTAGATGAAAGTACAATAAGTTTAACATTGATTACTATTGGGAAAGATAAGAAAGAAGCTCTCTGCAAAATCATCTTATTTAAGATAAAAATTTCTAAAGAATTGTAAACCAAGGGGTTCTAGGCAACTACTTCACTTAAGTGGTATATACCCACCATTTCGACTTTATGTTACTTATCCCCAGACTGATCACTCTGATCCACTTCACTACTACATAGATGATTCAAAATATTCCAATTATGCAATAAATGTTATGTATAAAGATAACTAAGTATTGATTATTTTTAGAGCATCCTGTACATTCTAATATTAAGCAAAATAAATTGACGTTTTAAATCATTTTTTGTAGCGATGCAATGGTTTCTTGGCTTTCATTTCCTCATCCGGATCAATTATCATCACTATTTAATACAATTTCACAGAGGATTGAAGAAATGGAGGAGTCTTTAAGACAACATACACAGGTAAGGTATTAGTTTTATCCAAATCCGCTATAACAATAAAATGCACATAATAAGTTATTCTAAAGAGTTTAAGGTTTTTCAAGAATAAAAGTATTGTATTTTCGGTTTATGCCGGTAACTCTAGTTTCAAAAATTTGTTAAAATGTACCAGCTCCGATCTGCCTATACAAAATGTAAGAAACAATAGTTTTCCAATAATGTAAAATTTCATAGTTTTTGACAAAGAGAAAACTAACCTTCAGAATTCAACTACATTAGTATGAATCTGTATCAGTAATTATTCATGCTAATAATAACTCGAGAGTAAAGTACCTATGGCAAAAGTGTAAAACTTTCCATAAACACCTCTTACCAAAGTTTTGACTTAGTTTTTTAGTTTTGCAAACTTTTAAATGAAAACAATCATGATGTTTTTTACATCCACCAAAAGATAGTAAAATTTGAAGGTGAACAGAACTTTTAATTCACAACCATTTAACCAATGATGGCTACATGACTACGAAAAAAATCAATATTAATCATACAAAAATTCAGATGATTCTGTTAGAATTTGTGGTTTTGTGCCCTATCAATGTATAACGTAATGATACCGCTAATTAGAGAGCAGTAATTTATCGACTGAACCAATGATGCATAAAACTCATACGAACAGTCTAGAGTCTTTATCGGTTCTTCTTTCTGCCTAACCCTGCCTGTTGAGTCCAGAACACCAATCTCAACCTCTGCGATATGAATGATGTATTCCAAACATACTGGATTTATATACAAACCAAACAGACCACATTGTGCTATAAAATAGAAAATAACATTTATGCAAGATCAAGCCGAAAAGTTGATGTGATTGTGGGAGACTGTAATTAATAGACTGGGCATAACTCAAGAACGGTTAATCGTATAATAATTGTTCATAGGTCAAAATAAAGCTTATAATAAAAAGAACACGAATATGAACAGTTTAGTTACTTAACAAATATACAATAAAAAATATGTATAGTATTAATCCAGAAGGAGATTCCAACAGTTACCAATCGTTATTCTCATTGGGACATAACAGTTTCATTTAAGTAAACATAATAATCAAATTTATATACTCTTGATTATCTGTTCTGTAAAGAAAATAAGGAATAACATTTCCTGATCCAGTTAATAATAAAAATTAGATAATTTGAAAAGTTTCAACAAAGAACCATCTCTTTTGTATAAGAAATAACTCTTTAAACTAAATACTTCATTGAAGAATACACATCATAAAGCTTAATGAAGCGCCCTTGCCAAGTAAAAGTTTCTGATAAAACATAAACATATTGGGTTGCAAATAAATTCAGCTGACCAGATCTCAAATAAGACAAACTATATATAGTAGATTCTAGTAATATTAGTACTAAGTAATAAGTAAAGTTAATTCTCATTTGCTTGGTAAGATGAAACTTTTGTCTACCAGTTATAATACTAAATATGAATAGAGTACTGAATGGAAACATTTACAGTTAAAGTACATGTAATATATATAATCTTATAGACTGTAAACATCGCACATCTACCATACAAGTCTCACCAACACAAATCTAGGTTATTCGCACGGTGTGGTCTTGGTTTATCAGTCAGTCAAATAGTAGCTGTTATCACAGTTTTTTAATATGTTAATAATATGCCATCACATAATAATAATAATAATAATAATAGTGACTATAGAATTGAAAATGTAGTGTGTTTCTGTAAAAACACTTTTAAGAAGAAGCTTAAAATTCAATCAAAGTCAAAGCGATTGGTAAATAGATGTCTGTAATAATATTAAACGTGATGAGGTACTAAGTCAATCCACATGAAAATGCTTTATAAGCATCCAGCAATGAATATAAAATTCAAGGTTACCTCCATCATAGGCTTAAGTGCACTATAAAATTGTTTGAAATCAGAAAATATGGGATAGTTATTTACTTTTAGTTTGAGACTCAACTTAGCCAAGAACTTATGATGGATCATATCATGTTTCGTTATTTCTTGCGGCATACACATAGCTTCTCGATTACTATGTCAGAATTCAATATTTTACAATTCTAGCTTAAATCAATTTTCAGGAAACCAATATGAACAATAAATGACATATTGCCATTGTTATGGATTCTCAAAGGAGAGGCTAAACAGCCATCAAGTGTTCGCTGGATTACTTTTGGTTGACGTCAGTTTTTTATAGAATTCATCATAATGATGTACGAACTTTTTCACAAATCCTCCATTTTTATTTACTTCTTTATGTAAAATTTGTGCACTGAACATACACTAAATTAAAGTATGAACTTTATTCGCATTCAAACAATCGATGTGTCTAATGAAACATGATATTTAAAAATAATCAACCATTATCTCTGTGCTTCATTTTATATCTTCTACCAAAGGTTTGTACGGACATAGAATTAGAATTGAATGATTTAAGAGAGGAGCGATCAAATTACAATTCCAATTTTGATATGTTAAAAGAACGTATTGCTTATTTGGAAGAACAAAGAGCTTCTGATGGAACACTCATTGATGAATTAAGAAATGAACGTGATAGAGTAAGTATTTTACTTTACCGAAGAAAGAACAATATAGTATTGTCCTGTTCAATTATTTTGAATTATCCATACTATTAATTTGGGCGTCAAATGTTCGTCTACAAAACTGACTGCGTCTTTTATTCTAAAAAAAGACGATACTCTCAGACAAAACAACTTTCGTAATGCAAATACAATTGTTTCAAACTATCCGTATCTACATAAGGATGAATAACAGTCAAACTAATGATTATTAATAGTCAACACTGAAACGTGTTTGTTAAGTTTATTTCAGGTTTATAAGACACCTAGTATTTGTCACCATAGAACATAACATTTATTCACCTCGTACTTAAAAATAATGTTGCTTTCAACTGCGTTTGGCAGATATTTACTACTGTTAGTTCCTACAATCTAAGTGCGATATAAATCTCCCTACGTCAAATTAGAGCTGAATAGTGATTCATTATATGTATAACTCTTTGAATGTTTCGTTCCCATCTCTAAGTAAATTGATTAGTTTTTGCAAATCCGGAAGCTGTGGACAGGTTTGTCTCCCTAATGTCGGGCTACTCAACAGTGGATATCTACGGCCTCATCAGTGACTGACCAAGAACCTTCAAACGTCACAATAAGCACTTAACGTTCAGACTGTTAAGCTGGCTTCCAGTGGTCTGAATTTCGATTTTCAATGCTTACTAGCTCCCAACAGTTGTCTAACTAAGGTCAGTTCGTGTTTAGAAAATCGCAAAACTTAATAACCTTCAGAACTACCTATACTAAAAGTACATAAAATAATTTAGTAAAATTATACTGAGTAATTTATTTATGCTGTATCCCTTTCAAAATATTCCTGAATTCAGAACAATTTATCACAAATGAACCGAAGTCAAACATGTCGACTTTTAGATTACAACTAAATACCTCAATGGTGTCCTGCTCAATGTTTGATCTAAAATTTCTAATCTAGATTCCGTGTGGAGTATTGGTTGTGGATTATCAAAACTTCCCGAATCAGGACAAAAAACTGTTTGTTAGCTTCAAGTTCTTCCGTTGATGTGTTAGTATTGTCAATCATTATCGCTCATATTTTATTATTTAAGTATGATTTTTCTATGACTAATAGGATTATTCATGAATAGTTTTAAGTCGTCTAATGTTTACTTAATTTTGTTTTCAATGATAATGAAAATTAGGAGTTTATCATTACTTAATGTCTGTGTTATCATTATTTATTTGTAGTTGCACTGCCATCTATGTAAATTGGCTCAAATTCTCAAAATAGATGAACCAGTTGCTGAATTGGGTGCAGAGATGCTAGGAGATACATTAGCACGTAAATCGAAACTATTTTATAGTTGTAATATTACCATAGTTAAATTCATTCCATGCTTTTATACTGCTCTACTATAAGCTTTTATTATAATCTTAAGGTTTCCCATCTTATTCACCTATTAATAATGCTTTATTAGTTATTGTAAAGCTAATTATTGATGTTCAATAAAATTCTCATAAATGTTCACTATTCATAGGCTTCAACAGAGGAATAATCTAGTTTTCCGGTTTATCATCAATTACATTCAGCATTATTTCATTCAGAATTCTTCATACATTTTATCATACTTCACTGAGCTCATACTAATGGAGCAAACTTAATTTAATGTTGATAATGTTCACCAGTTAATTTGAAGTTAGAATAAATTAATTGGTCAAACTTATTAGTTATATGTATTTACATCGAATGAATGGACATGAAAATGTTAGGTACAACAGAAAATGATCTTAATGCGTAATAATCAAAGGTTATCGAAGTTGGATAGAAAATAATGCACGGATTACTATATAGGCTATTTGCTTAGATGATGATTTAATCGATACATCAAAAGAGAAAAGGGATAAAAGGGAACAATCTGTGTAATGTATGTAGTAACGGAGATTTTAACTCACGGATTTCTTCGGTTTCAATGTACGTTGGAGGTTTCATATAGGGTATATTAAATGATGAATTACTTACGCTTGTAATGCCTCATGCAGGAGCATAGTCAGCACACCATCACTCTCCATCCAACCTTGTCCTGGACAATACTTTCCAGTTCTTTCCAGCTGTTATTCGTCCTTTTCATGTCTGCTTCCGATTCCCGACGTAGTGTGTTCTTTTACTTTCCTCTTCTCCGTTTCCCTTCACTATTCCAGGTTAGGAATCGCCTCGTGATGCAGTTTGATGATTTTCACAATGTACGTCCTATCCACTTTCAAGGTCTTTTCCTTATTTCATTTCCAACTGGAAGCTGGTTTGTTCTCTCCCACAGTAGGCTGTTGCTGATGGTATCCGACCAACGGATATTGAGTATCTTGCGTTGACAACTGTGTATAAATTCTTGTGCCTATTTGATGATGATTGCAGTAGTTTTCCAAGTTTCAGCTCCGTACAGTACAACTGTCTTGATGTTCTTATTGAGGATTCTGACTTTGATATCAGTTGATGGCTGTTTTGAGTTCCATATATTTTTCAAATGTAAGAATGCGGCGATTGCTTTGCCAATTCTTACCTTTACGTTTGCATCATATGAGATCAGATTAATAATAAATATATATTAGATGGACAATTTAGATTTATTTTAAAAATATGCATAAGTAAAATGTAATTTACTGAATTAATACGTTTGCCTTAATTCTTTCGAAAAACATGCATCCTAAGATAACATAATATTCAAAGATACAATGACTCTATTGTAGTGAACACGAACACCAGTGAGGACAATCGAATCTATTTGACACAAAATCACAGCACTTGCTAATAAAATCTAACAATCAAATAGTAAATACGTAATTTTCAAAATGTCAATCAATCGTCTCAAACTTCATTACTCTTTCGTTTTCACACCAATCATTCTCTTTTCTTTGATCTACTTAACCTTCTGCCTTCAGGCATTTCACTTTCGATTGATGATACATACTAATTATATCTGTCGACATCAGTAGCACACACTACAATACCAATTAAAAAAAGACTTTTATGCATTTTCCATCTTCCCCAGTTATTAATTCCTGATCACCTTATAATCTTATCTTGAAATTTACAATTTCTACATTCAATTCAAACTAACTACCAAAATGTCTCGACTAATCAATAATGTATCCTTGTATGACGGTTCATATTTTGTTAATATCTCTTAATTTTTAATTAGTACTAATTTATGGAGTTATGATGATCACAAAAAGGTTAACTTTTTCGTTTATGTATGAAAATATTAAGTTTATTTGTATCAAGAAAGTACATTTGGATAAAGCTTAGGGAACCTCACATATTGATTACATGGTGAATGATAATTGTCTTAAAATAAACTGTAAGTTTAGTTTTATACTCAGTAAATAAATGATGAATAATGATTTTAGTCAATGTTGATAGTGAATTCACTGGACTTTATGATTTATTTTAATTAAATCTTTTATATATGCCATAACCTTCAGTTCGTCTTACCCAGTTACAACAAGGTGACACGGAAAAACAAACAAATCAACGTTTACAAATTTCTCGATTACAACGTGAACTACGGGAAACAAAAGATAGAGCTGATTCACTTGATTTACAAATAGGAGTTATGCGACGTCGTTTAATTGATGCTCAGGAGAATGGACATCAAACAGTTATGCCAGCAAGTGGTACCCCTATGACCCTGGCTACATCGGAGAAAGAAAGACGAAAATTATTAAAACAACTAGAAAATGTTAAAGAATTGGAAAATAATCTGCGTCAAGAAGTAGTCATGTTAAAAGCTAGATTACTTGAATCAAGTCAAACTAAGGTGAGTTATTTATTGAAGATCTCCAGTGTATATTAGCGTTAATTTTCATCACAAAGTGACATCAACTAGAGAAACATTTAAAACCATACGATGCATAACAACAAAAATCCTTATAAGGCCACTTAGATCAACAGCAATCGTATACTCATTGGTGACCAATATTGAAGTGAATCTCCTAATTTTTTTATCGATAACCTTACACTGTTAGAATAACTTAGTCATTAGAGAAAGCGGTAAATTATCAATAGATTACTTTGACAACAAAATATCATTAAAATCAAACTTACAAATCATTTGATTATAAGTTAGTGTTTTTAAAGAAAATGCGCTCACTAGGATTTACAATTTCACTAGTTACTTACTTACTTACGCCCGTTATTCCCAATTGAGCATAGGCCGCCGAACAGTATTCTCCAACCCACTCTGTCCTGGGCCTTCCTTTTTCGTTCTATCCAATTGTTGTTCATTCTTCTCAAGTCTGTCTCCATTTCCCGGCGTAATGTGTTCTTCGGTCTTCCTTTCCTCCTCTGACCTTGAGAATTCCAAGTGAGGGCTTGCTTTGTGATGCAGTTGTGTGCTTTTCTCAATATGTGTCCTATTCGCTTCTACAGCTTCTTCATGATTTTATTAGACCTGATTAATTATCAATGAACTCATTTTTGAACTACAAAGATAATCTGTCGTCAATCTGTTTGCTTTCTTTTTTCTTGTTAACTTTACAATCAAGTGTATGAAGTAATGGATTCATCTTCTGTAATCACCAAAAATATAGTTGGAAAATGTAATGATTAAATCTAACTACATTTTTTTAAATCGAAAAATTATTTATAACAATTTGTATCACAGAATGACTTTGGCTAAACAATCAGGAATTACTGGACAGTTGGTGGGTCTTTCTATATCACTTCTCAATGATGTTTATTCCCAAGTTCACCATGGAGCGTATTTTGGACCTTCATGACTTGCAGCCAGCTCTTATCCTTAATGGATTTAATAATAATATGATAATTAGTTGCTAAATTTGCGGGTGTAACCCTGGATCATTAGTGAAAAATCATCTTGGTTTAGTTCAAACAAGAGTGAGACATGTATTACTGATGCCAATAGGTGGCAGTAGTGCAAGGTCAGGAATTGACTAAAGTCCATAGATTTTACATGCATCACAATTCCTAGAAGTCATGGATTCCATCTCTTATAAGGCTATAGAGATGCATTATTGGTGAGCCTCATTCTAGGATAAAAGGGTTGTACAATCTTTAAACGGTTATTTGTCTGAAAATAATGTGAGAAATAAGATATTATAAATAGTGTGTTGATTTGATCAAATATAATTCCACTTGATAAATAGTTTCTGTGATGACAGATGATAAATAAACAACTGCATACAATTAATTGAAATTTGCAAATTAAGCAATCTCGACTAGCCTCTCCTATTACCATTATTGTTTTGGTTTAATTTTATTATCTTTTAGCATTAACAATAAATAAGGTATGTTTGTACTGTACAACTCTACTAATATGAATGGGTTTTAATTTAAGTCGTGTGGTTGAGTAACATAATAATCTAATAATTAATATTTGTGAGGATAATATTCCCATAGCATCTTTCGAAGTTCCCTACGTGAATACATAATCAACGTTTTCTAATGAAAATTTTAGTTTATTTCATCTTCGTATACCAGACCATGACTATAATATATAATGAGCAATAAGTGTAAATACATTGGTTGTTTAAAACGTTGCTCCCATACTCTATGGTTGATGATGTAAGTAATTCACAGTATTATATATAGTGTACCATCCTAATGAGTATTAATAATTACATAACTTGAGTGTTTGACATTCCCTCATATACATTTGGTCAGTTAATACTTGTTATAACTTGTGAACCTGTGTGCCCTGTTTATTGTATAACGCAACGATACCGCCAGAGAGCAGCGAATTATCAATCGAACCAGTGACGCATAAAACACGTGCGAGCAACCTAGAGTCCTGATTGGTCCTGCTTTCCTCCTAGCCCAGCCAGTTGAGTCCAGAACACCAATCACAGGAATTAGCCAAATGTGGCTGTAAATGAAGGAGATAGTAATTAATAGACAGGCCATAACTCAAGAATTGTAAATCGTATAGTAATAGTCTATGGGTCAAATTAAAGCTTATAATAAGAGCGACATGAATATGAACAGTTTAGTTACATAACAATTATACGATAAAAATATACTCATAGTATTTGTCCATAAATGGATCCCAAAAGTTACCATTCATTATTCTTATCGGGATATAACAATATTGATTCTAATGTCCACTTTAATTGTAACTATCTTGTCTTACAGTTTATATTTGACAAGTATTCAAAAATGAATACAACACAGAAATGTTAAGTGTAGTTTATGTTTTTATGAAATTGTATATATCTTTTTGTAACACATAATAGTATGTTTCACTTAAATAAGGTTTACTGGTTTATTCAGAGATAAGTTGTTGCCCAGTGATATAATTGTATAATATTTTTTCTGAAATTCATAGCTACATACTAACTAATTACACACATATTGTAATTGTAAAGAAAATTAATCCACATGAGAAATACTGGGAACATATTTTTATTATCTCCGACGTGCATAAGTTATTTCGTTCGGTTGTAGTATATCTGTAGTGAATAAGAACACCAGTGAGGACAATCGAATATATCATAACACAAAATTACAGGACTTGTTAATAAAATCTAACAATCAAATAGTAAATACGTAATTTGCAAAATGTCCATCAGTTGTCTCAAAATGGCTCAGACTTCATTGTTCTTGCATTTTCATAGAAACTGCATTCTGTTTCCATTCTTTACTGTTCGATCCTCTTGTCTCTCCGCTGCCAGACATTCTGTTCCTGACTATCATCTTATACTACTTCTGTCAATATAAGTAGCACACAGCACATATCGAACAAAAGTGTTTGACTTTGTTCCTAGAATAAACTGGACCTGATAGTTGCTATTAGTGTAGATATTTTTTTAAAGATTGTATATGAGATCTATTCAGTTTTAAAGCTTAATATGCAATTGTCTGAGTTAGGATGCAAATAAAGAATAAGATTTTTAAAACACTTGGAAATTAGTTAATAAATTAAAATGTAGCTGAAAAGCACTGAATAAATACTTGAATTTTCCTTATGAAATCGATCCAATACAAAATGAAATTTTAAATATATAGTACTAAAATATTAAATTTATAGATTGTTATTATGTATTCTGAATCTGTTTAAGTCAGTAAATTCACAGTCTATTTCAACCACTATTCTATATTTTTCTTTATTAACAACGATAAATGCTCCCCCAAATGCCATGGTATGGCCGAGAGTGGGGCGAGTTCGCTCTCCCTCTCCAAATGCTCTCACATGGTCACGCGTATATAGCCTCTGCCAGGGAAGTCCTACTCACTGCCTTCTCGTGGAGGGGGTGTTGTTTACGAAAGCGAATGTCTGGAGCTTTAACCAGGTTGGTGGACATGGAGAGTACACCTAGGGGAGTTGGAAAACCTTGATTCCAAACCACTGGTGCACATGGGCTCCAGTATCCCAAAGGAACAAATGGCGTATGAACCAGTCGTTGGTCACAGGCTACTATTAGATTGCATCTCGTCACTTTGCTCCACTGCCTTGTGGATCAGATCTTTAGGTCAAAGGCTTCGGGTGTGGCTCCCTAAGAAAACTACCTGATTCGGTCTGGGCACCCGGGCAGTATCCTAGCCCTCACATAAATCTAATGAGATTTGTGTGGCGCATATGTATTTGGTGCTTTCTTGTACCAATATCTATGTGTTAAAATGAAAAATATAAAAAAATAAAGCTCTACAAGGTGACTGTGGTACGTTGTGTAAATAAATTCTCAGAAAAAAATATGACATATTTGAAAGTTTATTACTAACTATTAGAATCAGATAGCATTGTCCTGTTTGTTCAAAACAATTGTTTATGCTACAACACGGTGTTATTTTCATTATATAGTTGCGGCGATTGTTGAATTGCATTGAAATCACATTTCGAGCAGATTTCGACTGCAATTGAGAATCTGTAAACACTAAATGGTCGTTTAGTCCTAGTGTGAGATTTCTTTAACAGTGTGCATCCACGACGGCGCAATCGGAAATCAAATCCAGTATCTTCTGTTTCGCAAACTAACGCTTAACCAATATACCACTAAACCTGGATCCAGTGGTGTATAGTTCTAACTTCAGTCAGTTCACGATATTGTGCGACCGTCTTCCAATGTGTTTGATGTGTATCTTCCTTATACCTGACACGTTATATGCACTGTTGAGGAATCTAATACTAAGACAAAACAGCAGTTCAGTACTTCCATGTTTTTCAATTGTTGTCTAAATTTGATCGGTTTATGATTTTAATAAATGTTATTTCTACCCACCTTTAAACCTTGATTTCCTTTTAGCTTGCTCAAATGAGTGTATCAAAAGCTTTACGTGCTGCTCAAAATAAAATTGATGAATTAGGCTCAATATGTGAAAATCGTGATAATGAAGTTAAAAAATTAACTACTGAATTAAATGAATCCAAGAAACATTCAAATATTGAAATAGAAAATCAAAATGAAGAATTACAAAAATTAAGAAAAGAGATTAAACATTTACAAACTTCATTGAATAGTAGTCAAAAATCTGAGGAACATGTAAGTTGTTTACAATGAATACAAGAAGAAATAATTAGAGTAAATTAAGTTAAAGAATTAAATTTTTATAAAGTAACCCTAAGATCTATGAAAACTTTTCAACAGGAATGATGAAGAATAAAGAATACTGCATTCATTTGGTATTGTTTCCTTGAATCTTCTCATTGATTTTAAGGACTACAATGGATCAATCTCTTATTGGCATATGTGCATCCTGTGCGGATTGCCTCGATGTTACCTTAAGTCACAAGCATAATGAGCAAAGATGGATGATGGGTAACAGTAGAATGCAGGATGCGCGTTTCGTCCTATTTGAGACTTGTCAGCTGAATTTACTTGCATTTGAACATATGCCAATAAGAGACTGATCAATTACAGTCCTAAACATCAATGAGAAGATTCACGAAACAATATTAAATGAACTTAAGCTTCATCCCATTGCACTAGCAAGTGGCTATCAGGACTCAGTAGCTAAATAGATAATGCGATGCATTTAAAGCGAGCAGTACTGGACTAAAGTCCCGAAGTGAACACCAACTCTGGGATGCAAGTACATCCAGCTGACGAGTCCCAAAAAGGACGAAACGCTCGTCTTGTATTCCACTGCTGACCACCATTCATCTTTGCTCATAATAAAGCATGCTGTTTAAAAGTTAAGGATTGTTATTTTTAAATAATGATTTATTATCTACCATCAAGAAGTTTATTGCACTTTTGATTAAAATAACTTTCATACATGTTTATTCATATTTCTATAGAAGTTCAATTAGAAATAATATTCAATTGTAAAATTTATGTTTTTTTTCTTCTTCTTCTTGATTATAAATTTTCTAAAGCTTTTAGAATTTCGTAAACTTGTTGCAATTTATCTTGGATTAGATAATGAACAATTAACTATTCCAGATTATGAAATACTAACACATTTAGATCGTTTAGTCTCAGCTAATCAATCTCAAGTTGCAAATGCGGTAGCTACAGAAAGAGCAATAGATTTAGTAACTGGTAATACTAGATCTAGTAAGTGTAAATCAATTTGCATTTTCATTTATAATTATGTATTGATCACACTGTTAATTCTCTGAAGTTGCTTATATATATAGTCCAAAATGGGCTACAGACTGTAATTTATCAGCTAGAGTTTATCATTCTTGCGTGTAATAAATTATCACTTGATAAAGTAGATTTTCTTTCTTAAGCTTTCACTAGCTGTATGAAATATAAAATTTATGTGTATATGACTTACTGTAAAGTTCAGATACAACACAATAACACTTCAGAACTGAAAACTCAAGTTAGGAAACATTCCAAGAGAGATTTCTACAAGGTTGTCTGATCATGATTACAGAAATTTATGACTGAAACGTAGTCAATTATTCACATCAACAATCAACAGTCACCTCATGTTAACCAAACATATTGTGGACATCTGAAAAACATTCCAAATCATTAACAAATATTCAACACGAAGTTTATCTACTTTTGTACAGGCAATTATTATCGCGAGTCTCCAATCTCATCTATTTGTATTGAAGGAAGTTCTGTGATGTTCCTTTGATCACCACAGTGATTGTGAACACAATCGGATAATTACCTACCCTTAAATAATTTTGATGATATCCACATATTGATTTGTATTCAGTTTTAATCATGTGAACCAGTGGTGTGACTTTTGACCGTGTCGATTACCATTATGTATCCCTTCTTTCATCACAATCATTAGTGATCGTTGCCCAACCTCTTATAACCTAAATGACCAAATTCTCAGTAGTTAAGCACATGGACGATCCTAATGGGGAGCAGACCAAATACCTTCGACCTCATGAACAAACGCTTAATCTGTAGACCACGAAACCGGAATCCATTGTTATATGTGTTTAACTGGAGTGATGGTCTAACTAAGGTGATTTAGTGATGTGTCAACTATGAGGATTTGGCAATCTCCACCAACTTCTTTACTAATGTAACCACATATCAATCAGAACTACATTTGATTACATATGTTGTACCGTATTTTACATATAATGATTTTCGTCTATGTCTTGAACATCGATCTCAATTTGACTAGGCAAATCATTGTATTGCTTTGTTTTGAATAGTATTACTGTTTGTAGTTTAAGCTGTATATTGTAGCTGATGAGAAGCCTTGAAATAGAAAGTACTCGTTTTATTCCGTAAATTATGTTCCTTTTTCACCATTCTATCTTCACTTAGATTTAGTTTATAATAATAAATCGACTATTTAAAATTGTTTTAATTTGAGAGTCAAGGATGATTGAGTTTCATTCGTTTTCCAATGACTAACATTTTCCTGTTTTGTATTGTAGATATTCTAAATCATTACGGTCGGTGACAGCAAAGAGAACCAGCCCTCTAGTAATACCTCATGGCATCTATAATTGAATCATCGAGGCAATATTTTTAAACGACTGTCCTAAGGGTATATAAGTGTATATGGAATATAAATTTTATACGTTAAATGACTTTTCGAATTTTAAGTTTTAAGATCAGTGAGGTGAAAGGCCTCCTCTAATTATTTAACAAAGCTTTGTTATAATTATTAAGTCTGCTAAATGGACGTTCAATCCGATTTCGTAGTTGCTTCTAATAAACTCAGGCTGTATCTACACGGTAACTTGAACATAATAGAAGATACACGAAGACTGGTGATAAGGATTTACTCGACTTATAAAATAGATCAAATGTGATTTGGGAATACACCACGTTTTATATGGTTTATTTAGTTAGATTAACATTCAGATTTGTATAAACAGAACTGAGTTCTATCTAATAAAAATTACAGATTACCATTTTATGCAACTAAGAATCTTTATTCATTCCTAAGCTGTGAGTAAACGTCACACACGATTGGAATTAAAATCAGTTTCATATCCCATTTGGATTCCAATCGATCAAGTCATTGCTCACCACATTATTGATTCACTTGAATTTCTTCATTGATGATGTTATGGTTACAAATAGCAAGATAAAGTTGTGTAACATTTTGGAATCCTTGCAGCTTATGCTAGTCTATTTGATTATGGCGCATTCTATTAACTGAGTAATTGAGTTGCAAAGTCTTCCCTGTCAAGACTGATAGCATTTTGTGATGATTAGTAGTACTTGAATTATTATACGAACTAGGAATTCCCGAAATAACGCAATTTAGACCAAGAAGAACTAGGTGAGCACGAACATATTGTATTTGGAATTGGAAGTCAAATAGAAAGGAATTATTAGTTCATACAAACATCATACATTTTCAATGCCAATTTGAAAAAACAAGTAGGCCTCTCGAGACTTGTAAACGTTAATCGACTGAAGTTTGAACATTTATCACTACCAAGGTTTGATTTGATAATTTCGAATAAAATAAGCATTGGGTATATCATTATAAATCAAGTAATATATTTGTAATAGCCCAATGAGTATCGAAAAATTAATTTTCTGACGTTTCGTAACTCAGTGTAAGCCACTTCTTCACATAATATTCTTGTTATTCCGTCGTACTAATTAAACTTGGATTCATTTTGATTTGGTTATTTATTTTCTGAGGAAGTGGCTTACACTGAGTCACGAAACGTCAGAAAAGTTAATTTTTCTACTGATTAAGAGATTACAAATATATTCATTTACTTATTAAGTTTAAATACTTTTGGCCTAAACCCAAAAACTCGTCAACTTCAATGTTTTGTAATCCGTGAAATCAAAAAATAGATAGTAACAGTAGTAAAATACTCTACAATGTTATTTTTGAAATCCATCTGTAGATAGTGATTCATCAGATTTTAGAGTCTCCTTCAACAACATTTTATCCACTGCTTACTCAGTGTACACAATTATTGTTTCATGGTTGTAGATATATCTCCTCACACAATACGAAATCGGACAAAACATAGAGAACATCCCTCGGAAGTCCCCGATGTAATAGCAAAACATCATATCTTTTCATTTTTAACATTGGCAGTTTTTTAATCTGCGTTATCATTTATCTGAAACCAAGTGTATTTTCTTATCCATATTACTTATGAAGATGATCATAATCCCAAGATTGAATCATTACTTGGTATTTGGTGACTGATTTCAATCTTATTCACTTATATCCTACCATGAAAGAAGACTAGAATTGTGCGGTATTGTAACCATGTGTAACTCACGAAGTGAGCCTGTTTTTATAAACAGAGTACAAATCTCAATAATCATACCAGCATATTTACTGTTATACGTCCTAACAACATTTGGTCATTATCTTAAAGAGAGCAAGAACGAAGATTTGTGTAGAATAATATGAATTCATTTTATTTCGTTAGGTTCGCATCAGGTGCTTACAACCTTAAATATTTGAAAATCAACGTTATCACAAATGTTGACATACTTATACATAATAGGTTGATTAAAGGTGAATACGTACATCATGATGTAGCGAAGATTTCAATAAAGTAAATAAGGTCATAAAAATTTTGATTCAGATAAATAAAGCTTGGGAGGGAAAGTTCTAGAACATTGAAATAGTGTTAAAAACTCATGAAGTTAAAAAACAAAGGTGACTTAGTGTTACGAGGGCGAAGAAAGGTTTATTACTGTCTCTTTTTGTGTACAGAGATCTGGTTTTAGATACAGGTGAACCTCTCGTACCCAAAGAGCGCCATATAAATGATTACCTATTTTTGTGTTGTTTTCTTTAGTATAAGGCCTACATAGACCTGTTCTGAATTCTAATCAAGTTGTAATTCAGTCCGCATATGACTTTCCAGATGTACCACTATGTCCTGTGACCTTGTCAATACAAATTCATGAGTATGATTTATGTATGGCCGAATCGTACGACTTGCGACGAATGAGTCTCTTTTAACTTTGTCCTTGTTATGCCTATACTCGTGCATCTGGTTTGTGCTTGTGTGGGTCTGCACACTCACTTATCTTACCACAAATCTGCCCCCATGTTTGCATTATTCGTTTTTTATTTTGAAATAAATCAACGCTAGTGACAAGTAATATTTTGAAATCAAAGCTTTAGATTTTGTCGCTCAGTTTTTTATTTACTGTCTTCAATGACGAATATACCACAAATTTGAATCTAAAACATTTTCATATTCAACTTCTTACTTTAACGTTGCGTCAAAATAATCAGTCGGTAGAACACCTGAAAATCTGTACAGTGTCAATATTTCAATATCGTCGTTATCATTTGATGATAATGAAGTCAGCGAAAGCAATAAGCACCTTCATTATGCCTCCTGAAATAAAGGAAAATGTCATTTTCTTCTGACGAACTTAAGGAAGTATAGATTGTGCATTACGTAATGTTAAGATGAATGTGATGCACTCAAAATTCTCTTCATATCGGTCTATCACTCTTGCAATCCAGTACTAAGGTGTAGTTAGAAGGACACCTAATGCAGTGCTAATAAAAACCCAAGTGCAAATATTTTCAAAGGTAAAGGCAGAAAATCGTGGAACTACGCAACGGAGATGATAGTAGTATCGTTACACCCTGAATATGGCTGGAGGTTTAATTTAGTTCTGCCGGTATTGTGTGCATAAATTTAGTTTTAATCCTTGATCACTAATCCACATTTGGCAATTGTTTACGGTCTCCTAATCTTAATGTAACATAATAAGAACCATACACCTGAACAATCAGGAATACTTCGTAGATCGACATCCCAAGGAACAAACTTCTTACTACTTCTGTCCAGCAATTTTTGAAGCCAAGATTCGCATACTATTTACGTATGATGTGACTTCTCAGAGTCCCTGCCAACAATCAGAAATTCACACTTATCACCACTGGTTTATAATATACCACCACATTAAAAACCATCAACTGAGTCTTTCTTACCAATGATTAACCATAATAGCATATCACACAACCATTACTGAACCAGTGCTGTATGTAAGTCTATCTATCTAAATTATATGGATCAACTACATATCTAGTTATTTAAAAGAACATTTTCGGATTAACTTGAGGTTTCTCGCTAGAACGGCCAAAAGTACAGATGAAATTTAGAGTGTCTTTAGGGTTTTATCGCCAAGAAGTTTGCGTTTACTAACTTTTTTGCGAAATCTCTAATCTTATGCACTCACTCATCCATTTGAAATATCTTATAACTCTATTTCAAGTATGTATAAATACATGCACAATAACAGCGTTTTCACAAGTTTTGAAACTATCAAGTCCAATGTCCTAATAGTTAACCAAGGGCTCGTCGAAATCTGAAGTCTTACTTGAAAATATCTCGAAGAAACGTATGCATCACTAAGCACTTAACCGAAATACGAAACGCTAGTATCTCGACAAGCACAGTGAACCGCTTTGACAAATAGATTCTTATTTTAATTAATACCGAGGGAGAGGCCGCCCTAAAACAAAGCTCTTGCAAAAGCCATCTGCTTGCGAACGACAAAAAAAGATTGTATCTCGTGTTCGACATCGGTTAGAGCCATTGGCTTGGCCTGGAGAGCTGTAGCGGTAAATAAATCCTCAAAATAAATAGCTCTGTAAGTTTTCAGCATTGGATGCAGACCACATTTGTTTTAATGGACTCACAACCTTGGAATATCGACGCTACTGTAAAGTTTTCCGTTCATATGTTTCTCGGACTTACAAAAGCAGCCGAACTTGGACCATTTGGTTATTAAACAGACATATAATAGGTAGCAATAATGATTCACGTGAAATTCAAGCTACACAAGGCTGTTGAGTAGTGCGCTAAGAAATAGAAAACTCGGATTGCGCCAATCATTTTTTTCACAAAAGCATTGTAAATTCTGATTTCATCCAGCACATATTTTGTTTTTTCGCTTTTAACATCTAAACAAATAATTTATTCGCAATGCTAGTTTCAAACTTCTGAAGTGTTTTTAACTGAAGGATTTCGCAGGCGGACACGCTTTTATCGTCGGTTACGCAAAAACTAATTCTTGTTAATTCAGTGTCATGTGAGTTACATATGATCAACAGGGAAGCATAAATCAAAGTGTCTGTCTATTTTCGATCAACATTCATTCGAAACTACTGAAGGAAAATTTTTGATAAAAACGAATGGATTATAAGGTGTGATAAATCTCACAGACTCAATAAACGCGCTGCTTTTTTAAATGCTTTCAATGTTCGATGCCATTTCTGTATACTGTCTACATTAAGAAACTCAAATGTGGTTAACAATCTTACTAACATGTCGGCAATATATCCAGTCAACAGAACTCCCATTTTGTTTCAAACATATAGTGGTTGAAGACTTTATGACTTGTTCATTGTGATTTATTATATCCTGAAATAATTATAATTAAATTAGAACGTGAACCAATCATATAGGTAATAGATAAGTTAAAAGAACTATGGTTTGCTTGATTGGTGACGATTCAGAAACAAAACTTAATGCAAAGAACTTGTAGAAAGACCAAGAGTCGTGTATTCATTAAAAAATATTATTTTGTAAAATCGATAGTTGCAAATTCCGACTTTGTCTTTTGTTTC